TTGAGACGAATGTGAATTGGTACGAAAGTGAATTGGGACGAATGTAACTGGGGACGAATGTATTGGGACAAATTGACTGTGAATCGATATGTCAACTCACAATACTGGACTATGAGGGGGCTATGTCACATAAGACAAGATATGTAAGAGGGCGTTATCACAGAGAAGCCACTAAAACCCTTTACCACACAGTATTAAATATAGATTTTTAGATAAAAAAGAAAACCTTGTTTACCTGGTTGTCTCGCTCCTGCAGCCGATGATACCCGTGCATCAGGCTCAGCTGCTGTTCCACCAATGTACTGCTTTGTTGCTGACCCGGGCTGTTCAAGGGGCTTATTCCCAAATGTACAAAGGGAAGAAGAATTCATAAAATGTGCCGGGGATAGAAGGGGTTCCTTTGAAGTTGAAGGAGTGATGTGTGGTCCTGGAAGATTATATGGATTACCACCACTAGGTAGAAATTGATGCTGTGCAGCTTGACCAATATTTATATTGATCTCCTGTCCATGTGATGTTGTTGGTAATGATGATGCTGATCCTAAAAAAAATCAAGTTTATCATTAATAGCAATATATACAATGTATAAATATGATTTGTCATTATTTGCATTGATCAGTCAGTAGCTATAAATAAGGTAGTTGGTAACCATTAAAAACTATAACAAAATTTTGACAGTTTAAATAGCTTTGCTGTCTTACAAGAAAGTTGTAGTAGCCAAGTCGAGCAATACACACCCATAAGACAAAACAGACTTAACCCACAAAAAATTTGGTTCTGGCTGTTGAGAGCATGCAAACTTAACTTCATCAAACAAATTGTTCACAAGCCACAAAATATGAAAGCAATTAGGCTGGAAGTGTCCACTCTCCATAAATTTAATTTTTTACAAAAAATGACAAAAATATTTGCCAAAAATTGAAATTGAAGATTATGTAACAAAAAAAGCAAATCTGACAGAGGTCCACCCAAGGTGCCTACATATCAAGTATCAAAAGCAATTGAGCTGGTAGTTTTCAAGAAGAACTCAAAAATGCAATTGTTGACGGATGACAGACGACGGACACTGGCAATGTTTGAAAATACTCAACAAGAAAACATTATCCTGACTATATAACCATTATTTCATGATTACTTGGGGAATCATAAACATAAATGACAGCATGTCAGTGACTGAATATGTTTCATGTCACTGGTGTAATAATTTATTCTTTGTTGTATTCTTTACCAAGATATTACTACCGGTACTTTGCAATTTATGGTGGTTTTAAAGCCAATCCAGCTTCAGCCAGCTAAATGTCAAGTTATGCTTGAACTGTAAACTTACCTTTATATAACTTTACTAAGCGTACCAACTCATGGTTATCTAACATATCCATCATTTCTTCTAAAAAGGTCACATCTTCTTCACTGATCCGGTCAGTTTGCTCCAGAAATGACAACAAGGATGGTGTATCACAGATTTCCTCCCTAGAACTCTTGCTTATGAATGATTGACAAGAAAACATGAGATTCTTGAAGTCATCTTGTGTTAGCTCATCACAGATCTTTAATAACAGTAACCTGCATGATAGTAAAATAACAAAAGACTTGATTTGACACCTTTTCAGATCTTCAGGTCATTTAAAAAGTCATAATTACGCCCATCATTCTACCAAGTTTCCAAGTCTAATACATTTTAAGTATATATTAAAATGAAATTGAACTCTTTCTAATACACTGGTACCTATATAAAGTCATAACTAATTGACATGGTACTGGTTAAAGTGCGGTAGTCGTCGCGCTGCGCATGTGCAACATTTGTGTTGATAAACATTGATTTTCCCACAATCCAATGTGCTCTTCAAATGGAAATCACAAGTATGAGGTTTGACCTTGGCGTGACTTGCACTGATTACCGCGATGACTCCTTCGATACCTTCCAATAACATGAAAATTGCTTAATTAAAGCTTGGAAACATCTCATTTCGTACTCATTGATCTGCGCAACAGTCAAAGTCGCCATCTTTGTTTATATGCGACCCAGCGCGACGACTACCGTGCTTTAATATTAGTGCCTTGGTTTAAATGCTGACATGTGGGTAGAAAATCAACATATAAGGCAATTTGAATGTTCCAAAAAACAATAACCTTACCTAAATTTACTAAAAAGAGGTCCAGGTCTTCCTTCTGTTTTAATTTTTTGGTCAACAACTCGTGCGTTCCCAAGTCCCAATTTCTTTATAAGATCAACTCGATGTATCCTTTGCAACAGCTCAGCAAGGAATAGAAGCTTATCTCCAGGTCCTAGGAATCCTTTGTATTCTAATTCCTGAAAATATCTCTGGGTCTCTTTGCACGTTCTAGTTTGCCTCCAGCGATGAAGTCACGACACAGGAATTTCAGTGCATTATGATCTCGAGACACAAGTTCTCATCAATGTTTTTAAGTGTTTTCCGATAGGAAAGATCCATTTGGGCGTCAGTATGATACATC